TTCCTGAAGGATTCCTGATGTGGTGACACCTCCTGTGCAGGGACCACAGTGCACTGGGGTGAGTGGTAGGACCCCCACTGCCCCGGCTGGCTGGTGGTCCCCAGTTGTGCCACTTCCCAGGCAGCATCGTGGGGTCCCAGCAGATGAGAACCCCCAGCTGCTGCCTGAGCCCAGCAGCAGCAGCCCCAAAGTTGGGGTCCACGGGCTGATACCAATGATTACAAAAGGGGTTTGAGCTTAGATTTCCTTAAGAGCCCACTGCCTGTTACCAGGGCAAGAGTGCCCAGATAAGCTCCACCAAAGCACCTACAATGGAGAGGCCAAGTGTCTCCTGCAGTCCTGGGCTCTTGGTGACATGGCACAAGAGCCTCTGCCGAGGCACGAGCTGACACCTCCAAAAAATCAGTCACTGACTTCTTTAAATTAGGGGGTGAGGCAGTGAGGACAAAAACGGTTTCTCCTCTGGATAGATGGGAGAAATGCATGTTGCGTTTCAATGTGATGGGATCCCTGTCCTGCTGGTGAAGGGAACCCACCCAAACCTGGGGAACGAAACATCACGCTGCAGAGCTGCTTGGGGAGCGCACTGAATTTTAAGTCATCACTGCTCAGCCTCTGCCCACCCTCCCTTTACACACCAACTCACTTCTCAAGCTGCCAGGGCGCTGGCTGGGCCTACACCACAGGACAGCACGAGTGGGACGTGGGTGCCGCATCCCACGTGCTGCAGGTGACCGGCGAGCACCTCGACACAGATCCCAGCCACCATCCCACACCCAGCGGCCTTGGCTGGCAGCACATCTCTCAGCTGGGGGCTCTTCCACTTGAAAGCAGCAGAAACAACGCAAAACGCTGCCGTGGGGGACCCAAAATGCTGCCGTGGGGGACATCAGCCTCATGCTTGCTCAGAGCAAGAGCCGGGAAGTTTCATCCCTTCCGACCCAAAGCCGCTTTTATGGTCTTGATCTATGAAGTGTAGACTTCACCTGGACAGACCCAGAAGTGGCTCCTCTCCGAGGCAATGAATACAAATACTTGACCTCATGAGCTGCAGGGCAGCAATTAGTTTAAGCAGGGGGTTTGTGTAACACTTCAAAAGTCTTAATCCGTGCGGTCAGCCTTGGCACGGTATTTGCCAGAACCTATTGAGTAGTCTTAATGAGTCTGCAAAGCAAGCTTTCAATACATTTTGGGTCGCTTCAGATGCTTTAAATGGCATAGTCTATATGGTATTGTGCAGCTTTAGAAAGGCCCGGGCTTTAAAAAAGTATGGCTCCCTTTCACAGGGCAGACAGAAACCATCTTTAGAGCCAGGACCCTTAACGTTTTGCATATCAATATGGCTGGGGCTGAATGCAGTCACTCAGCTGAGAAATAGGATCACTATCAGCGTTTCCAGGCTTTCACAGGCACTTGGGAAACTTTAAAGCCCTTCGTGGAGAATAATTTGGTCGAATGTCGTGGCTGGAAACAAAATCTAAACAAGCAGAGAGCAGTCCATCACGCGGAGCTGCCGGAGAGGCCAACAACAGGCTCCTGGCCACGACACCCAGCCCCGACAACTGGCCCCAACGTGGCTGCCAGGGCACTGGTGGCACTGGAGGGATGCAGCCGGGGGTACCCCGTGCTGAGATGGGGGGTGCTGAGCCCTTCCCAGCAATGGCAACCCCACTTTGAGGGCTCTGGGATCTTGACCAGCAGAAAAGCTCTTCTTAGGATGGTTTTAAAATATTCCAGGTTCTTAATAACAGTCACAAAGCCCCCCGGGGTCTGCACCACACTGGTGGCATCTGCATCCATCCCCACTCACACACACATGGACCGACACCACGATGCCCCACTCCACGTGCAGAAACCAGCTTAAACTGTTTGCTTTTAACTCTGACACCACGTTAAGACTGTCCCTGCACATGTCACTTGTCCCAGATGAGCCCAGGGGCTGAGCAAGGCGAAGGAGCTCAACCTCAGCTACAGCATCAGTTCAGAACATTCGTGTCCCCCGAGGAGCACCAAGGAGGTGCCAGCGGCCGGGACACAGGAGCGGGGAGAGCTGTGCCGGGCAAAGCACGATGTGTAAAACCATCCCAGAGCTGGTCGAAAGGGGCTGGTACCTGATGTGGATCCCAGCAGAAGCAGTACCTGGACCTCCATCACCGCTGGCCAGCGGCAGCGAGGAGGGGAAGGGGGGCACTCCTGGCAGGAAGGTCAGCTTTGGGATGCGGCAGGATGGAAGGAACCGAAGCCAAAGCATATTTGCAAACAATGCAGGGCCTGAGGGCACTCGAAAACACATAATTAGCTCATTAAAGAGACACATACAAGTCCCTAATAAGATATTAGAGGTTAATTACATGTTATCTCCATCTTTAATTAAGAGAACACTAGTTGAATCAAATTAAACTAATTTCTGCAGCCTTCCATAATAGCTCCCTATGGCTGCAGATTTGATAATCTCTTGAGATTATTGAACTGAAAGGTCAGAGTTTGGGGCTTTTTGTTTGCTCTGCTTGGGTGAATTTGGGGGAAGCAGGGATTTCCATCCGAAGGGTCAGAAATGCCCCGCTCCATCATCTGGGTTACTCAAAGAACATAAGAAGGTATGTGATATACAATTCCCTCTGCCTAACCCCGGCCCTGGCATTTATTCAAAACTACTGCCATTAATTGTTTTTTCTTAAATAGGAAACCCCTGAAGACTACTTTCTGTCTGCAAAACACAGCCCATGCTTGGGGTCTGCTGCTGGGCCCGCCTCACCCACCACCCGGCCAGCCCCTGCCCGTGCTCAGCTCTGGAATTTGCTTTAGCAAAACCCCACATGCCGCACGCCCCAGAGGCCAACTGCTTTCCAAAGCTTTTATTGGGGATGGCAGAGCCCTCGGCCCCACGCACACACCCCCCCACGCACTCACATGCTCCCACTCATCACCGAGAACGGTCCCAGTTAATACAGATTAGCAAGGTTTATATGGAAGAATATTTAATCTGGTCAGGGAGGGGAGAGGGATCATCTGTGGTTTTATTTCTTAAATATTTCTCTCTACTGCAGAAAGGTCCGTCTCTCGCCAGAAAAGGTCTGATATAAATTAGAACGAAGGGAGGAGGTTGCTGTCAGGGGCAGCGGCCACAGGCAGCCC